ATTTCCAGATAAGCAGAAATTAAGGGAATTTGTTAAAACCAGACCAACCTTACAAGAGATGCTAAAGGGAGTCCTTTGAACAGAGAACCAATAACAGCAAACAACAACCGATCATTAGCACACATGATATAACCCAGAAACCAACCCAGTTATGGAAGTATCCAAAAGTAAAATAAGATTGTAAACAGGGAACCAGAGACATCAATTGGCAAATGAAGACAATTACAAACCAAAAAGAGGGAAAAAATTGTGTAGTTACAGAACTTCTAAATGGTGAGGAAGTCAAGACAATTGCAAGACAGAATAGACTGTTCTAAACTTGGGAAGAAAATTATAAATTACAGGGTAACCTCAAAGAAAGATACTACTTCACATCAAAATAGAAAGGAGGACAACTACAAATATTTAGCAAATACTAAAACAATAGCAACAAGGGAAATAATAACATGATTCATAAACAAAATGAGCTCAGCACAGATAATTATATGGAACAAAGAAACCAGGAACACCATGAAAAAACACATAACAAAATCATAGCAACAAATTCATACTTGTCAATAACTACATTGATTGAATGTCAATGGATTAAATGTGCCACTCAAGAGACGGATTGTTGCAGACTGGATAAGAAAAACATAACTCATCAATATGCTGTCTACGAAAGACACACCTTAGAGACAAAGACAAAAATAAACTGAAAATCAAAGGTTGGAAAAAGATATATCAAGCAAATAGCAATCAAAAAAGAACAGGAGTAGCGATATTAATTTCTGATAAAATTGACTTTAAGACAGTTAGCAGCCAAGCAGAGAGGGGCATAAATAAATGCTAAATGTATATTCACCAAGAGAAAGGCAAAAACCCCAAAGCCCAGAAAAGTGAAGATAGAGAAGGCAGGGTGGGAGACATATACTTATTCTCAGCAAAAGAAAAGCCCCGCTCCATCCCACCATCCTCAACTCTAGGTCTCCTTGGCCCTTCTTCAAACATTGGCAGTCCCAATGAGGTAGCTTATCTCTAAAGAGGATTGTCATCAATTTCTTCCTCTATGCTATTCTCTCATTCAAAAGAGCCCTGAGCCACCTTGTATGAAACACAGGCTATTCTTCTGAAGTGGGTCCATATGGAAGAAGACTGATGTGCCAAATAGGTGAGTGAAGAAGTCATCTTAGACGTCCAGTAAGGTTGAGCCTTCAGACTCCAGCCCTAGCCACCATCTGACTGTAACCACCTGAGAGTCTTCAGATGAGGCACCTAGTTGAGGCCAGTCAATTCACAGGACCATGAGAGAGAATAAAAATTTCTTGCTTTAAGCCACTAGGTTTTTATTTTTGTGACTTGGGTCAAAGTTTGCAAAGCAAATTCATTTTCCATACGACAGTTCATACATATTTCGTTTTATGACATTGATTACAATCCCTATAATGTAACAGCTTTCTTCACACTTCCTCCCCGTAGTTAGCTTTTCCCTGTGTCTTTCTTTCCTATGCATTCCAGCCCTTTGAGCTATCTCCCTGTGCAAATACAACCCTTCTGATCTTCCACGGTTCCTTGCCCTAAGGAGTGTACCTACCTGGTGTAAATGTTCACCTTATACACCTGTCTATTGTTTGGCTGTAAGCCACAGGAGTGAGTTCAATTCCAGGTCCAAAGGGTGACTAGGGGCCATAGTCTCAGGGGTTTCACCAGTTTCTATCAGACCATTAAGCCTGGTCTTTTTTGATTTTGAGGTTTGTTCTACATTTTTCTCCCACTCTATCTAGGATCTCCTATTTTGATCCCTTTCTGAATGGTTGACAGTTGTAGCTGGGTGCCATCTAGGTTTTCTGGTCTCAGGGTCACGTAGGCTGAGGTTTGAATGGTCCACTAGTCCCTTGGACTAACTGTTTTCCTATGTCTTTGGTTTTCTTCATTCATCTTTGCTCCAGGCATGAGACCAATTGTTGCATCTTAGATGGCCACTTGCAAGCTTTGAAGACCCCAGTTGCTACTCATCAAAGTAGGATGTAGAACAATGTTTTTTGTGTAGTATGTTATGCCAATTGAGCTTGATGTCCCCCGCAACCATGGTCCTGAGCTGGTGGGCCCAGTGACTCATTCTACCAAAGTGTTTGATAGCAAGCCACTAAGTTTTAGGGTAGTCTGTTATATACCAATAGATAACTAGAACACACAGAAAAGGCTGCAGTGGATTTAAGGCTTGTAACACCCCTCAAGCCACCCCCTAAACAAAATCAACAGTAGCCAGTCATATTTTCAGTCTCTTTAATTAGGTGGTCTGAGGAGAGGGCAGGAAGGCAGGCAGAGGGGTGGAGAGGGTGGTGCTTCCAGAGCCCTACTTGGCAAGTGATCAGTCCTCTTCCTCTGGTAGCTGGATCTTGCTGGGGTCGAAGCAATTGGATTCCATGATAGGGAGGCCATTGGCCTCTCGGTACTTCACAAGCCTCTCAGCCTCTCTGCGGGCCCACTCACGCATCCTGGAGGCAGCAGCAACAAAGGTAGGTATGAGAGAGCCTCATTGGATACCTATTCCCATTTCAGCTCCCCATTCCCCAACAGTGCAGGATTCCTGGTTCACGAATTCCTTGAAATCCCCTTCAACTTCCACCCATTCCTCTGCCTCCACCCATCCCACTCTCTTGGACACCCCATGCACCTGTAGTCAGGCAAGTAAGCCACAAAGGTGCTGCCAAGGACTAGGACAATGGAGAAGCCAAAGAAGAAGACAACACGCATGTTCCAGAGGTCCACAGCAGGATTCTTGTCATAACCATGGGAGTCAGGGTTCTGTAGCAAGGAGAAGGAGGTATCAATGAGAGCTTTCTGCTGCACCGTAAAGTCTCATGGAGGCCCTGTATAACCTGGTTTCCAATCTCACCTCACATCCATCTCCTCCCTCAATACATTCTTTTCTCTATTCTTAGGACATGACAAGCTCCTTCCCACCACAGGGCCTTTACACTT